CACAGAGCGAGGGGACTCCTCGGTGTCTCTCGAGAAGCGTCACGGACTATGCCGAGACGCGGCCAACTGAGAGTCGGGAAGCAGCGTGGTGGTGGTGATCGTGCGGGCCTGATGTTCGGGTCGCCTAGCGGCGACTGAGTTCGGGATGCTAAAAGTTCCCGCGGGAGTCGGCGGCGAGAACGAGTGTTGCAAGACTGAAGGAGGAGAGAAGAAGGCCGGCAGGATGGGCGGGAGACGAGGTGTGCTGCTGCTGCTGGTCCGCGACGTAGGTGCGCACCGCGACGCCGACGACGTGACGGCCACGTGCCCCCTACGCGGATGCCTCGCTGCTTGTCGCCACTGAATTGCTGTCCGCTGTTCTCTCGTCGTCGTGTTCGACTACGAAACGAACGTCGTGCTTCGTGCAGGCAGCTAGCTCGTGTACGAGCGAAACAAGCGTAGCCAAGTGTTTGTTTGTGATTCCTCGATATAAATGGAGTATAGAGTGTATCGGTGATCTTTTGTTTCTTTTCTCTCCCCTTCCGTCGTATCTTGTATCAAGTGCGCCGAAGATCAATTCGCGGGACGCGAACAGGTTCGTTGGATGATCGAACTTTGCTCGTTCGCGACAGACGCGAACAGGTGGCACGCGCACTCGGTGGCAGCCGACTCTCTCGAAGGCGAGTGTTTCGACGCCGGTGAAAGGAGCGAGAAAGAGGAACGCCGGTTGGCGTTTTGATCGGTGATGAACTGGAGATCGTGTCACGGGACAACGTTGTGACACTCGCGCAGTCCCGCGCGAAACCGGAGTCTGGAGAGAAACTGGAGATCGAGCTTGATACGACCACGAGGTGCCGTCCCTTCCGTCCTTTCCGTCGAGCAGCTCTCTGCCTCTTCGAAACGTACCGCGAAGTGTTGTGATTCTGCGTTAACTGCACGGTGCGGATAGTTGGCAGTGATTGATTGCACTCGCCGTGGATCTCCGTGAGCTTCCAAGTGGCAGCTTCCACATTCCGTGAATGCTACGCTTTTGAAAACGCACAGTGAAACGTGAAACAAGAGAGAAGCAACAGACAACGGGGAACTTGCGATCTTGAACGAGGGACTGAGGACTCGGAGGATTCAGTTGCACAACAAGTGCGAGAGACTTGGCAAGTGGCAGCGAAGTCTCGGGATCTCGGAGGAGGCGAGATAGATATCGCGAGATTCCCGCGTTCGTCGTCGTAACATCCCAGTCATCAGGCCGACGGGAGTTCGAGGAGAGGGTGAAGGGCGTCGTGGAGGGGGGAGTGATGCCGGTGAGGGTGGCACAGCGCCCCCCAGGTGGAATACCACTGCACGCCGGCGTGCCGGTAGCGCCCAGCAGCGTAACCGCCTCCGGTCCGTCGGGCCGGTGCCTCGGGGGCCCGGCAGCGCCCCCCGCCGGCTCGCCACCGCTGCCGCCCTCTCTGCAAGCGCTCGGCGGCGGTGTGAGCAACAACGCCAACAGCAACACCGCCGGTCCCGCCAGCAACGGCTCCGCCAGCAACGGTAACACCGGCACCAACGCCAACAACATCAACAACACCAACAGCATAGTCGTCGGGGCGAACAACATCGGTCAGGGTATCGCCGGCACCGGCCTAGCAGGAGGCGTCAGCACGACGAGCGGCGCCACGAATCCCTTGCAGGCGATGGCGTCGGCGGCGGCCTCGCTAACCCAGCTGAACAACATGGCGAATGGCCCGCTGCCGCCGCTAGCGGCCACCGGACCCACCGGGCCGCCTAGTTTGCCGCCTCCGCAGCCGGCCACCACGCCGACACACGGCGGCCCACCGACGCCGCACGCCGGCGTCACCGGTGGACCCCACCTGAACGGAGCGTCCCCGAGTCCTCACCCGATGCCACCCCACGGTATGATGAGCGGATCGCCTCACGCGCCCCATCCGCACATGGGCGGCGGCGGTCCCTCGCCTCATCCTCACCATCCCGGCCCCCACATGGTCGGATCGCCGCATCATCCCGGTCCGCATCCGATGGGGCCCGCAGCAAGCATGATCGGGGCCGGTATGCAGCCGCAAGGCGCGCCCGGCATGTGCGGCCCCGGACCCACCGGTCCAATCGGACCGCACGCTCATCCCCAGGGACCTGGAGTACCCGGCCAACCTCACATGCACAACGATCCGTTTTATTGCTCGCCTTTCGGATCCCACTACTTCAGGTAAACTTTTTCCTACCGATTTCCATATATTTCGAGACCCGAAATCACACTTTGTCCCTTCGCCCACTTCTTTCTTCACGCAAAGTTCTGATTGACGAACGTTGATTTGTTTACTTGTCGTATCAAGTACGGTCATTGGTAGGTTAGGCTTCGTTAGATTTCATTCACGAAGAGAAATCGACGAAGATAGTTTTCGACGATGGACGTGTAGCAGCGAATAATCGATGCTTTCGTTTACCTTTTCACGATTGACTCGTCGTTTGGGAAGTTGGGAAATATTACCAATCGCGAAATTGGAAAATCTTGGAAGTTTTTCTGTGGAAGTTCTCACTCACGTTGTGCAACAATGAATTAACACGAGACGTCATAGTTTGCGTTTGTAAAGATCAAGCGTCTGCCAAATGTTAAGGCCACGCCTGTGATCATTTCCGAGGTCTACGTCGCCTTGACGCGAATTCTGTTTTCTTTTTCCTTTTTTTTTTTTTTTTTTTTTTTT